GGTGGACTTGTAGGGATGTCAAAGCCTTCTGGATCAAGATATGGTGGAATATCCAACAGATTTTTAAGAAAAAGATAAAATTTACACCGCAATTATTTTTATTGGGTATTATGGAGAATTTGGATCGAAAAGAAATGAATCTTATGTTGTATTGCATCACAGCAGCAAGAACACTGATTGCTCAGAATTGGAAAAAAAAAGACATTACCAACTATGGATGATTGGAGACAGAAAGTCTCATATTTTGCAGAAATGGCTAAAATATCCGCATACCTGAAGGATCATTCACAGGAGAAATTTATCCTGATATGGAGAAGATGGATAGACTATATTCAGAGAAAATATGAATTGAAAAACTATCATCTTGCTTTTGATTAATTATTTAATTTTTATAAATTTATTATTGTATTTTAGAGTTATAGTAAGTTTATACTTGTTTATTGTATGAACGGATAGCTTTGGATAGATTAAAATTATTTTGCAATTATTCCTGGGTTTAGCTCTGGGAAGTCTGGGGGGGAGGGGGGAAAAGGATTAAAATATATAAAAATTGATGTGTTTATTAATTATTATTGGAAGTATATTTATGAGGATGATCCTGGCTGTTACCCCAAACTGCTTCTGGTTGGTTGTTGAGAAAGAGGTTGGGAAGTAGGGAGTGGAAGGAGGAAGGTGGAGTGGTTGAGAGTCTAGAGGGAGGAAGGTTTGGTAGGTGAAAGAGGGGGAAGCGGGGAAGGGGCAGCCGGGAACACCCGTAAAGCATTTTTTCTTTTGTGTATTGATGTTTTGTATTTATATGCATCATGTTTATGTTTATATTTTGTTATACTTGAAAATAATAAAAAATTAAAAAAAAAGAAAGAAACTTGGGTAGTAAGTTTCTTTACTTCAGAAATGTGTTTTTTTCTGATCCACTTAACTTCCACTGTCTTGGAAAGGGAGGTCTTATTAGAAATAAATCTCACAATTGATTTGCAGTATGCATATTCAAATAGCTGTATGTAAACATTGTAGGCCAGATGAATTTCAGAAGAATCCAATATGTATGTATTTATGTGTGTATGTATGCATGCATATGGTTGCATAATTTTTTAAATTAAGCAATTGCAGCAAAAATGGGCAAAGAAATATACTCAACTGTTTTCTCCATTTGAAGTTCTAGACAATCTTTTTGCAGGAATAATGAAGAAGAGGAGCCCAACTAGTAAAGCCACTGTTGAATCAGTAGCATAGCCTGGATATCTAAGGAAAGAGATATTTACTTAGAAAATAAATATTACAAGTCTAGGAAAAGAATGTTGTGATTATCTTTCAGCAAAAGTATTCATCAACCCAATTAGACTTATTTATACTTCAGTATATTTCAGAAGTATTTAATTGAAGGTATTGGGAACTCTATTGGGTTAGTAATCAAATTTACTTTATCTCTGAAGAAACACCACAGTAGCCTAAAAAAGAATATAAAAGAAGCATTTTTAAAAAAGGTATTGTAAAAAGGTATTGTCAGTAACTATAAAAAGGCTTGATAGCATCTGGCAAGCATCCCAGAAAAATCATTCCTGGCAAAATAAAATCTGTAGGATTATATGGGCCTAGTTTGAACTGACTCTGAGAGCATCCTCTGGATTGAAAAGCTCCCCATTTTAATTTGTTTGTTTGTTTGGCTGGTTGGTTGTTGTTGTTGTTGTTTTGCCAAGATCTAGCTGCATTGAATTCTGAATTTTCTGTCATATCAGACAGAGATAAAAAATCTCAGGGAACATGCAGAAGCTTTTAAAATGATAGCTGTAACATTCTCAAGGCCTTGACAAGTCTCTTAGTAGCGCTATTTTAGCATCACGAGAGCTCTTTAGAACTAAAAACTGCCCGGCTTTCCTTTAGGTATCATGGCATAAAATATGTAAAACATATTCATAGATAATAAGGTATTCTGCAGTGTCTATAAAGAAAAACTAATGGTAAACCTCACATGAACCATTCTGTATGGTGTTCTTATAATTGTATGTGTTGCCATGGAAATTTCCTGGAACTAAATGTAAATAATATTTGAAAATAAAATCTGGAAAGAAGATTTTATATATGCACACACATACAAAACTTCATATTTAATAGCATATGTAAATCAGCCAAATGAACTCTTGAGTATTCACATGAAATTTCATGCCAGAAGCAGAATATAATGGATATTTAAAACAGCTAATAAGAAATCATAATTGTGGTGAAAATCTAACAGAGAAAAATAAAATCATAAGAAGGTATTATTATATTCCAGTTAAAGAAATGACTCTTACATAATGTTTATTTAATACCTTCAGCTTAAAAAAAACCAAAATATTGATCTAAAGTTGATCTAAACAAATTAGATATCCTACTCTAGATGCAAGGCTAAATGGATGAAAATGGACTAAATAGAGACAGATCCCCAAAGTGTCAGCTATCCAGATACCCACAGTACAATATTTTAGCATATATATAAAACTTGATTCATTCAATCATTTTTGGTAGTGGAATAGAAAGTTAGAATGTCACTTCCTCTGTTCCTAGTCAATAACAATCACATGCTTATGGCTTTCTGAATACCAGGGAGACATGTTTTTTAAAAAAGGCATTGTCTCTTCCTCTACACATTCTAATAGATGTTTAAAGAAATATTTGGTACTACTATCTGGATTTTTCCATATAATAAATTATAGAACCTCCTAAAAATTGTGCAGCATGGCTTATTGACTTACTCTGGAAATAAAGCAGACCAGCCAGGGATGAATCCTGGATCTCTAGTAAACCATAACAGGGCCATCAAAAGGAACAGGACAAAGGTGACAACTTCAGGGTAGCTGAAACAAAAACATCATGTATTGACCATCACCCTTTGAACTGATTTGCTTTGATAGTATTGTAATATTTCTTTGATAGCATTTGTAATATTTCTTCTGTGGATTAGCCAAATGCATTACCTTATTGGGCCAAGTTTCTTGTATTCTTCTTTGATTACTTGTGCTGAAGCTTGTTCTCTAGATGTCTTTTCTTTGCCACACTGGAACATTTCTTTCAAGCTGAAATGAAAAGTGAATAGATATAGCTTGTTATAATACCTGTTCACCAGAAGATAGGTTCCACTTCTGATGACTGTCTAAAGAACTTCTTGAGGACTAGGTTGGTCCAAAAGAATGGCTGGCTTTCTTCCTTTGAAAGATCTCATGGGCAGTCCAACATACTGTGTTGCATAAGATCCAAAGAAAGAGAATGCCACAATGTCCTGTACAATAACTGACCTGCCTGGGAGAGCAACATGAATAACGGACCAATGCCCTCTATCCTAGCTAAGCAGCAAGGCAGCTGCTAGATCACTGGGCAGGATGTTTTTCATTTACAGTACATAGCTCCAATACTTTCCTATGATTCCTTGTTTGACGTAGCATACTGCCTGACTCTGCTGTCACACTCTTCCTAATGGTAGGGCTAGTGCTGATTTCTGCTTTGCATTATAAAGTGATTTGCTTTAATTTCCCATTTGCATATCAAGAAAATATAATCCACAATGTTTTTTCTTGAACCCTCAAGCTATTTGTCTTCACTGAAGCATACTATATCCACTATATACAGAATCGTAACTGAGCAAAAAGATACATAAGAAAAATAATATTTCCCTAACTTTTTTATACCTTCATTTTTCTTCTTCCTCTATTGTTTTCTTATATTTATTTTTGTACATATGCTCCTTGGAGGCAGAGATTTGTTATTTCTACTCATTGTAAACACATCCTTACACAAGATGATATTACTTTGGACTCTTCTCCCATAACAGTACTTACTTGAAACCCAGAAAAAGCCACAGAAGCCAAACCCAGGACAGTATTAAAATAATAATACTGATTGGGATGCAAAGAATAAACCAGGATCCAAAATTGATGCATTGGCAACCAGGATATCGTCTGAAAAAATAAAAATATAAATGAAATTTGAGTTGGTTTTGAATATGAACAGAAAGATGTTTCTTAAATCAAGATCCACGATAGCTACACAGATGATAAACCTTAAGAGAAAATCTATCCAGCTTTCATCTTAATAGATGGCTACCCTCCAGGAAGTAAAAATGGAATATTCACTATCAGCAATTTAGACTCTTGCACCAATTGGCCCATCCATGGTGGAAGTATTTTAGAATGCCCCAGTCACTAAAGCAGAGATGACTTCTTTTTTAATTATCTTCTATCAGTTAATTAAAATTATTTTAGATAACACTTTATATGAAGATGGTGTTTTATCTGTTATCAATTTACTTTATAGTGGATATGGTATTCTGTTAAAAATGTTTTTACAGTAATCATTGTTAGCTGTGTTGACTAACATATATGAAAGGAAAAATGGAAGAAAAGACCTCTCAATAGAAATCCATCATCTTCAGGCCTGGTAGTTCTAAATATTGAATTACGTGGACTTTGGTGAGCAAACATGGGTTTATTAAAACAGATCATGCCAAACTAATCTTATTTCATTCTTTGACAAAGGGACTAAATTAGTAGACTAGCGAAATGCTGTTGACATAGTATACTTAGACTTCAGACATAGTATACTTACACTTCGACAAAATAGACCACAACCTACTTCTTAGTAAGCTAGAAAAATTTAGGATAGACAGCATCACCACCAGATGGATTTGTAACTGGTTGATAAACCATACTGAACAAGTTGTTCTTAATAGTACAACATCTACATGGCGGGAAGTAAGCAGTGGGGTACCACAAGGTTTTGTCTTAGGCCCAGTACTCTTCAATATCTTCATAAATGACTTAGATGAGGGAATAGAAGGGGAACTCATCAAATTTGCAGATGACATAAAGCTGGCAGGAATAGCCAACACACCAGAAGACAAGCACAACATGAAATTTAATGTGGAGAAAAGCAAGGTTTTACACTTAGGCAGGAAAAGCCAAAGGTACAAGTACGGATTAGGTAAAATCTGGCTTAAATACAGTAACTGTGAGAGGGACCTTGGAGTCCTAGTGTACAATTGCAGCAGCAGCCAAAAAAAGCTAATACAATCCTTGGTTGTATAAAAAGAGGCATAGAATCAAAATCATGTGAAGTATTAGTACTGCTTTATAAAGCCTTAGTAAGACCACATCTGGAATATTGCATCCATTTTTGGTCACCACATTATAAAAAAGATGTTGAGATGCTGGAAAAAGTGCAAAGAAGAGCAACTAAGATGATTAAAGGCCATTCCCATGGTTGCATGATCAAAATTCAGAAGCTTGATAACTGATATTTACGATGGTTGCAGTGTCCCTGGGTCATGTAATCACCTTTTGGGACCTTTTGACAAGCAAAGTCAATGGGGAAGCCATTTTACTAACTTAATAACTGCAGTGATTCACTTAATAATTGTGGCAAGAAAAGTCATAAAATAGGACAAAATTCACTTAATAAATGTTTAACTTAGCAACAGAAATTTTGGGCTCAATTGTGGTCGTAAGTCAAGGACTAGCTATATGTTGTTTCCTTGAGATGGTTAGACGAATTAATCTTATCTGATATGGCAGAACACTCTGGCCAACCAAGGTGAACCCTTTCAGGAAATGAAGTGATGAATTCAATTGCAATAGAAAAGGTCAAGTGCATACTAGATGAGAACCAGAGTGATAGAGTGATTAAAGGTGCTAGACATGAAGTAGAGGTGTCAAACTGGTGGTCTGTGGGCCGGATGTGTCACGTGTAGGCCATGCCCACCCTGGCTCCGCAAAGGCAAAAAAACGTCACGATACATCGCGATACATCACATGACACAATCAAGTTTCACACCTGTGCTCTATACCATTCCATAGAAGTGGCTGTCCAATCTCTTCTTAAAAGCCTCCAGTAATGGAGCACCCACAACTTCTGAAGGCAAGCCATTTCAAACTTCCTATTTTGTCCCTGATAGAAAGAGCTATATGCACATATAGTTTATTATGCCAGGATTCTAGAATGGAATTATATGGAAATATGGCTAGCCTGAAGTGAATATGCATCTCAAAATATATATTCTTAAAATGTAAGAAACAGGCCTAAATAGAAAAAGTCTGACCTCAGCTGCCTAACCAAAGCAAACCCTTTCAATGGAAGTCTCTGATTACATAACCATTATTGCCTACTTGAACAAACTACTTGCTCAGCTAACTTTTCACTAATAAATTCCCAGGCTAAAAAGAGCCTATCTTTGCCCTTAGGGACTTGGACTATTAGTGATATGAAAGAGAATTGGAGTTGTTCTTTTGAACAACTCCCTCCCTTTTTAACTTTCTTTCATGGTGATTGTCATGCACTGTCATTTTAATTAAGGAACAGCTACTTGCTCTATCAGGACTAGCCTAGATATGAGATGATCTCTCTGCAACAGAGTTTTTATTATCTTAACAATGTTCTTAGGAGTTTAGGTTATTTAAGTTTCAAGAGAAGGATATCCTTCTCCCTCCCCCTCCGCAACCCCCTTCCAATAAGAACAGCAAAACTATATCATACCTAAGTGGAACTCAGAAGACCAGCTGTATCATGAGTGCTATAAAGCCTGAGGATATTAATGCAGTTTAATAATGATATTTCTTTATCCTGGGCATTCATTTTTCTTCTGCTGCGCAGCTGCTCAATCCATTACTTTTCTACATGCCTTCTTTGCTCACCTACTTCCAATTCCACAGCTCTCCATCTTCTGCCTTTGCCCTGAATGAATTTTCCTTAGAACTTCCTGTTTACTCAAGCTACTTATTAGAGCCTGCTCTATAGGTTGTGTATTTGATTGCAATGTACACGCATCTTAAATTATGAGTTGAGAAAGCAGTAGCTGCTTGAATTCATTTTTCTGCCCTTCCCTGCCTCCAACAAGGAAAATCTGGACTCCTAATTATTACAGACTCAAAGAGAAAAGAACAGGTAAAAGAAATAGATGGAAAGGAAGGGATTTATTCATTAGTTCCTTGTGTCCCTCCCCACTTTTTGAACTTTCTTTTTAAAGCAAGAGTTAGAAGACCAAGACATTTGGGAAAATCAGGCCAGAAAAAGCACCCAGTTATTTAATAGCCTTTATGAACCAATTAATATGTCTCCAATTGGAAACATGTAATGGAACTCTGCCTTTATATATGATAATGGCAGTGAGAATTTTATATGCTCTAAAGTGGAAGACTTACAAAAACCTGCAAGGGAGAATGGGTGGTGATGCTGATGGTTGGTAGAGATGGCAAAATTGACAGCCTTGATGAAAGAAAAAACTAATTTCTATTTGGAAACCATTATTGGACTTTTTGCAAGAAGCTGAAAGAAGTGGAAAGCTGATTTTGGGACTTGATGATTGGTGTTGTATGGGATTATCAAAATAATGCAGATAAATGTTAACCTTAGAGTAAGAGTTTGATGTATTCTTATCTCTATATCTATACCAAAGAAAGTCAAAAGTCCTTTTTCTATTTTTCTTATTTTTTTTCTCCTTTCTCTGTACTTTTCTTCTTTTCTGAGCTGAATGTCTATGGAGATTCTCAGTCATCCAGGTCATGGTTGTCCCAAAGGTGCTTTTTCAAAAAGGTAACTGGACTTTGTCTCAAAGGTGGTTTTTCAAACTGGACTGTTTTTTCCCTGAGGAAGACATTTCGCTTCTCATCCAAGAAGCTTCATCGGTTCTAGCAGGATGGTGGGGGTGATGGAAGGATTAGCACTCTCTCAAATGACCAGATGACTGCAAGGAATATAAATCCTTCCATTCCCCACCACTTAGTCAGAACTGAAGATGCTTCTTGGATGAGAAGCGAAACATCTTCTCATCCAAAGCAAAGTCCTGTTGCCTTTTGAAAAAGTACCTTTGGGACAATCTTTTCTGAGCTCTTTTCCTTTTCTATTTTTTTTTGTTTATCTTTTAACATTGCATTTTTTTGAAAATTTATCTTTCTGTCTGTATGTCTCCAATAAAACAGTAGCATTGTAAACAGCTATAACATTTATCCTAGAGCCCCCACAACGCCAATGTCACAACACTATATCTATATTAATACATTTTTGCAGCTCTTCCTGGGTAGTATATGCAACCCAAGTCCTATTTTTGTTGGGAATTAATTTGAATGGAATGTGCACATACCATTCCCAGTGATCAAGACAAACACACGAGGAATTAGAGGGGAATATGGATTTTGCTATGGTCCCTTGCTTTGTATTCAACAAGATTTTAAAATGTTTGCGTCTTGGCTTATTTGATCATAAGCTTTTTTTTTATTGCTTTGAAGTTCCTATGATATATTCTTTTATGTACAATTTGGTTTGCAGTGATGCAACTTTGAATGAATTACAAGTGGCAGACAGACAATATTCCTGGCAACTGGAAATCATTTTAGCAGATTAGAAATCCTTGGGATGTAGAGTGAAACTGGCAGAATGTTCATGATTGTTATCCATATCTAAGGAAAAATATTGCAGTTTATGTACAGTGTGTGTGTGTGTGTGTGTGTTCAAGTTATTCACCACAAAGCTTTACCTGTGAATAACATTTCATGGGGCCAAAATCATTTAGGATATATTTTTGAAACAGCTCCAGTATTTTCAAACGTATTAATAAAAAATGGGGAGGAGGAAGGAAGGAATAGTAGCCAATTTGGCAAATAATTATTTCAGCCAAGATTACAGATTTATTATTCTGTCATTCTGATCTGTGTAATGCCCTTTACATCTATTACACTATGTTTTTATGAATGTCATAAATTTTTCTATGGTTGCTAGTCCTGCTGGCAACATTTTATCTCCTATTTGTATAGAGTGTAATCTTAGCAGTTAAACATTTGAAGAATTGGGAGAAAATTATGGAGGTGTGCTCTTAATATGAAATGAAGGTGAGCATTCCTGCCCACAGGTATCATAAGGAATACAGAAATTATGTATAATGATTGTGGTTTATACAAACAGTAATTAATTTTACCATAATTGGTTAAAAAAGGGGATGTGATACAGGCAGGTATTCAACAAGAGCAGGGTGAAGCAAATTACTTAAATGGATAATTATTCTATTGGGGATGTATATGATCTGACATGAAGGTCTTTTAAATTAGCTAACTACAGTGTGCTAAGCTTTGGGTATGACTAGGGATATGAAGAATGAGAAGGATTAAGAAAGGTCATTTTTCAATAAAAACAGCTTTGGACACATGAAAAGCTCCCAATTTGAATACAGGACTCAAGCCTTTTGTCTAGTTAGCAGGGATACATCAGTGAAGAAAACACTTATGCTGACTTCTTCCCAATAGAACAAGGGTTTTATGATGTAGGATCTCTCATTAGCATTGACATCCAAATGAAGAAAGGTTATATTATTAGAAAGCACTGCACTGACACAACACAAATTAACGTAAATGGATAGAAGAGCAGAATTTACAATATTTAAATTTTGGAACAAAACAGTTTTAATTTTCTTACGTATTGAATTGTTCTGCAAATATTAAGTTGGTTGACGTCCCAGTAATGGTAGTCAATCCTCCAATGGTGGATGAATAGGCAACACATAAGCACATGACTTTACATATCATATGGTCTTTTTTGTTCCGGTATTGTCTTTCAGACTGGCTCAGTTCTGAATTCTGCTTAAGTAGAAATCAAATAAATACAATCAGCAATTTTCATATTAGCCTATTAAAACCAGCCTTCCCTAGTTAAATTATTTTTTCCCTGAAAATTCTTCAGAGTTTAGGAAGATCCAGAATGAAGTAACACTTCCACTTTCCCTAATTCCTTTTTCAATAAGGAGAAAAAAAAAAAGGATAGCTGAGGAATATGCAAAAATCAAGTCCTATTCCTAAGTTTCTAGTTTTCCTTATGATTACATTTAAGCTATTCATTGTCAATATAAACTCTGAAAATGGTAAGTTAGTCAAGAATAAAAAACAATGCATGTCTGATGATACTCAAATGTCTATAGTAGCTTTCACTATAAGCACATAAGTTTCATTTTCAAATAATAAGTTAATAATTCACAACTTGCCCAATAATTTGAATCTCAGTATATTAACAGCCAGATGAAATGGCCAAACTAGAGTAGAAATGCCTTCATTTTCTTTTGAAAGTCATGGAAGATTCTTTTTAATAATACAGTATTGCCAAATGTCTATTGCAGTGATGGCGATCCTTTTAGAGACCGAGTGCCCCAAAACTGCCCCCGCCCCACTCCACCCCCTGCCCCACCCCCAGCCCACCTGCCCGCAGGGCCACTCACTGCCTCCAGGGCCCACCGCAGATCACCCAGGCAGCCCAGCAGCGCCATGGTGGACACACCCTCTCCCTGCACCCTGCAGCATCAACTGTGCGTGATGGGGAGTGAGGGCAGAGTCTTGTCTACGCTGCCTTGCTGCCATGTCCTTGGCTGCGCTGCTCCGTGTGGGCCACACTTGGGGGCAACTCTCCTCCAGGGGGGCTGCTGGTGAGGAGATTGCGGGGGGAGGCAAGGCTGGGGCAGTGGCATGAGTGCCCACAGAGAGGGCTCCGAGTGCCGCCTCTGGCATCAGTGCCATAGGTTCGCCACCACTGGTCTATTGTCTCCAAACTGATTGATTAAATTACTTCCATATGTTTAAAGAAAAAAAGACAATTCAAATCAAACAAGTTAAAGCATAACTAGAGGAAATTTGTGGCACATTTGCCAATTTAATCAATACATCTGTCAAAATAGACATTTCAGCTAGAAATAGGATAAATAGAAATTTTAAAGAATTAAACATGGAAATTAGGATAGAGTAAGTTGCATACCCATCTCAATTTGAAATCAATTTAAAAAGAAATATCTTGAATTATCAACAGTGAGACACTGGTAAAGCAGGCACAGTAGTGCCTGCATTTTCTGTGTCGCATGAGAAAAGCATATCTTCCTTCTCCTGTCCTTACCAGTTTCTGCAGAGGGATGATTGAGAGCATCCTGTCATACAGCATTACAATCTGGTTTGGAAGCATCACTGCTTCAGACAGAAAGGCAGTGCAGAGAGTGGTGAGGATGGCAGAAAAGATTATTGGCAGTTCCCTCCCTTCCATCAAGGACATAGCATATAAGCATTGCTTGAGCAGGGTCTGCAAGATTGTCTGGGACACTACACACCCTCTTAATGACCTGTTTTCCTTGTTACCTTCTGGGAGAAGGTTCATAGTAGCCAAAGCAGAACATCCAGATTCAGTCACAGTTTCATTCCATACAGTATTAACCTTGTGAACTCTAAAGCTTCCTCTTTTCATTATGTATTCAAGATGGACAGTGATTAATATTTATACATATGTTGTATAAAGCATGTTTAAATCTGTGTTATGTATGTGCATGCTTTGAGAGCAACTAAATTTCATTTTTAATGTTGCCAGTGTGCCCACAGTAAAAAATGACAATAAGGGTTATCTAATCTAATCTATACTGTATCTGACCCTGCTAGTGATTTTTTTTGTATTTATAATTTCTGTGATTTGAATTAACTGATTAGCTGAAAAAAAATCCTTGTCTTCATATAAGGATTCATGTATCACCATTTTACAGGTGTTTGAAATAAATTTTGACACTCCTTCTGGCAAGAATCATAGAGTTGGGCCAGGATTAAATTGAGGATTAATTAGAATTAGAACAAAGTGAATTAGAATTAGACAACAGAGTGAAAGCATGGTATGATACTACTGGAGGAGGCTGAAACAGAAACTGGAAAAAGCCAATTAATAGCTGAAATCCAGAAGTGATGAGGCAGACCTCAAAAACAACAAAAAATACAGCAAGTGATTGCATTTCAGGTATGTTGAACTATACACTACATCCACTCCAGCAAGTCTGCTATTGTACCTGATGTATAGAGGCTATGAAAATGGTTAAGAACAATGGTTCAATGTCCTGTTTGTGGAGGGCAACATGTTGCGCTAGGTGTCAATCTGCCTCTGGGTCCAATTCAAGGTGTCGGTCATTATCTTTAAAGCCCTCTATGGCATGGGTCCAGAGTATCTGAGAAGCTGTCTTTCCCCAATGGGATTGGCCCACCTCACTCATGTTGGCACAAGAGGCTTAACATGGACTCCATCAGCCAAGGAATTGCAGCTGGCAGAATTCAGAAGAGCTTTTTCTGCCATGGCCCCCACCCTTTGGAGCATCATGCTGCAAAAAGGTGCCACACTTCTGGCTTAAAGGAAATGCCGTAAAACATGGTATGGCAATAGGCTTTTAGCCCTGAAAGCTCCAGCCAACAGCTTGGAGGTGGCTGGTGCAGTAACAGAGAAGGCACCACTGCTTCACCGTTCCAAACCCATAGTTTTTTTTAGCTTGCTGTAATCTTTTGTAATTTTAATCTTTTTATAATACAATTACAATTACATTTGTAATTGTTGTAATATTTATGTTTTATGTCCTAACTCACTCAGAATTAGCTCAAACTGTGAGATGAGCAGCATATACATTTAATAAATAGTAATAATGTTGAGAATACTGATATATAGAAAATGACAATAACTTAATTAGGAATAAATAAAATGTCCCAACTGTCTGAGAAAGCTGAAATTTTAAACATGACTTTGAGATGTTCTCCCTTGCCTTAATATGCATATTACTTTGGAATTAGAACACTAAGCCACCTGCATGTTTTAACTTATCTGGAAAATCAGGGAAACATTGTAGATGTCATATTGCTTACTATTAATAATTATATAATATTATTCAACTGGCTATATGTGAGGTACACAATAAATGTATATGTTTTAATTTTCCATTTCCATTTAAAGAATAGGCATGTAGAGGCACTTAGATAAGGTATTTTTTAGGAAAGGAGATGTAGTAAGCTGGAGGAATAGAGAAGGACTATATACGCTGATTCAAAGCACACTTTTAGAATAAGTGCACACTATTGTAGAATAGTGCATATAATTTATGAATAACATATTATTCAATTTATATAAGGTTTATTCTTTATAAAAAACTGCATAGTCAATATTTTAAAGTATAAATATGAACCAAAGTGCAGCTATGTTTAACCGAAGCATGCACTTTGTTACATACATAGCTTCTAGATGAAAAGCCGGCATTCTTATCGATAAACAAGGGAAGATATAAATCCTTTTTAATTGCAATTATCCAGTTTAGATTGACAGGCTCACCTTGTAGATAAGCTACACGCTGAGTTAGCAGGATGTTAGAAATCATACCACAGACAAGGAAGGGGAGATAAGACAGGAACAAAAGGTGCTTTTGATCTAATAATTGGAGGGTCTGGTTGCTAGGCGGTCGGAAATCATGTGACTAATTCAGACCTATCAGCTGGGTTTGAAAAGGAAGGATGTGGCATAATTCTACGGGGCAGGATATAAAAGTCTATGCTGAAATTGATTCAAGTGGGGTCTCTGGAATTTGCAGTTACCAAGAGAACCACCAGCCTTTGCAAACGCTTCAATAAAACTAGTTTTGTTTTCTAACACCATTAGAGTTTCTTATTCCTCACACTATATAACTGAAACCATAACATGTTAATCTGACTATCATAGATATTCTAATCTTTAAAACAAGGGGGATAAATTATTTTAAATACCTTTTCATTTTCAATGTCACACACGGCGTGAGCAGTACCATTGCTATATCTGGAAAGAAATATTTGTAGTAGTAATTATTTTAATGCCAATAAAAAAGGTAAATCATATAAACATTTTGTTCTTTTTCTATATATATTACCCTTCAACTTTAGTGGATTTCCAGTCATCTGTTTCACGCTCACTAATGTTTTCTGTGAAAACAAAAACAAAAAGTTCAAATGAAGTTTTTTTTCCCCCTCAGGCGATCTTTTTCCAAGTGAGGTTAAAATTGGGTTGAAGTTACTTACCTTCAAGTTCCAGGGCAGGATTAGTGGTTCCATTTGCACATGTCGTATCCATTGCATCCACTTCGGCTTCTGCACTAATGATTTGCTGAGCCACCGCCTCTACAATCGGCATTACCATAGCAGCCGTAGAAGTGTTGCTAAGCCACATTGATAGAAATGCACAGCTGATCATAAAACCAAGGGTGAGCCTGAAATAATAGCAAAAAGTCCATCTAGGTCTGCTATTAACATTCAACTTAATATAAAGTAATTATAATAAGACTATTAAAAATAATGTGAGTTAGCACCTCCTGGCCTACAAAAGTTTCTAATTCCTTTCTCTATGTAGCTGTAGTATGAACTAATTAACTTAGCACTCTGGCCATTCAAGCAGAATTGGACTCTAAGATAACAGTAGAATGGCATCTCTAACTCAT